CCAAGCACGGCTGATACTGCTGGGGTTTGATTGTTATTTACTTATTTACTACTTATTTACTACTTTCCTTCCAGATGTCTCGATGGAGGGGTCTGGGTGGGATCTTCCACAGTATTGAAGTTCAGCCTTTTTTAATAAATGTTTTAATGACTGTTTGTTAACTCTTCACCCCATCTCTGACTGTAGAAGCATTTCTAGTACTCACCAAAATATTTCTTCCAAATTAAAATTTGTATTACAAATGGAGAGAACCAGAAAAGCAGAGCCCAAATGCCAGAGGACTTCTACAGGATTCATTTCTCCCTTTCCTCTTTTAATTCTCCCTTTCTTGGGTGGGCAACCAAAGTAAAATGGTGCAGCTTTTGCTTTGGTAAATTCCATTGGGAGCATTTTCTTTGGGGACAAGATGGCTCCAGCTGTGACCACAGATCACAAAGCTCAGTTTTGACCATTCACATTTGTTAAACTGAAATTAGTCTCCCCCAAAAGTGATATATACCAAACCAGAAACTCAGTGTGGGCAGAAAGCTGCATTCCTGAGCAGAAATATTGATGATTTAAAACCCCCATTTTGATATATATCCCATGTAAGATTTTAATATACTTATATTTAGTATAATATTAATATATTAATTTTTTTTTCAGTGTTGGGAGACTGACAGAAGCTTGCTGCATCCCAGAGGTTTGGCTGGAGGAGTTCCTCCCTCTGCCTTCACAAAGCTCAGCCTGAGCCATCCAACCCCCCCAACACTTTGCCATCCTTTCTCCCTGCTGTGCTTTAGACACATTCCCAAACAAGGGCAAAAAACTTGTATAATGCTAATAACAATAACTTCAAAGCTACTTACACCCTGCAAAGCTGGGGCTACTGTTTTGAAGACAAAGCAATTTATTTCTCATAAACCACGGTCATTAACTCACCATCTCTCCATTCTCTAGAAGAACTAGAAACTAACAGCAAACCCCAATATTATCAGGTAGAAAAACCAGAAGCTAACAGCAAACCCCAATATTGTCAGGCAGAAAAAACAGAAACTAACAGCAAATCCAATATTGTCAGGTAGAAAAAACCAGAAACTAACAGCAAATCCAATATTGTCAGGCAGAAAAGTCCCATCTGGGCTGAGCTGGGGTTGGTCACCAGCTCTGGGTGTTTCTGTGGGTGCTGTGCAAAACGACAAGAATGAAATCAGTCTGGGTTTGGCATAGGAAGAAGCATGGGAGAGGAAATTTAACTCCTGGAGGAAGGTTTTGCTCTTCTCTCCCCCTCCAGATGCTGAAGCAATGTTCTGCTTTAAAGGGATAAAATGCTCTTATGTTGTGCTGTGATTTGGGGCAACCTCTCTCTTTTAAAGCCTAGAAATAAAAAGCAAATTTTCTTCCTGAGACCTCGGGATGGGAACTTGCTGCTGCCACCAGAGGGACTCTGAAATGAGACAGAAAAGCTGAGCGTCCTCAGAGCAGACAGACAGACTTCTGGCAAAACTTCCTGACTTTCTGGGGCTGCTCTGAGGATTTCTCTACGTTTTCTACACCCAGGGCTTGAGGGCTGGGCTCTGATATGAGCTTTATGTGCTTTGTGCTCTCAGATTATATACAGATTATAACAGATATAATATAATGTATATAATATATGTTGTTATATGTTATTATATATTATTGTACTGTATTACATTATATTCTATAATATCATATCACATAATATAATAATATTATAATACATATTATAATTATACTATATATTATATTATATTATATTATATTATATTATATTATATTATATTATATTATACCATATTATATTATAAAATATCATATCATATATCACATCATATTATACTGTATATCATTATATATATCATATCATGTCATATATTATAATTTTGTAATATATACTATTATATGTAGAATATAATAGATTATAATAATTTATATTAGATTATATTAGATTATATAGATTATGAACACTGTCACCCCCCCATTCCCACAGTTAATCCCACTGTGTCACCCTGCAGCTCAAGGTGCAAAGTGCTCACCAAGTCCCCTCTCTTTTGGTGGCTCCCCTGGTGCTCAGTCACAAACCTGACTGCTGAAACAGGAGTTAAAATGTTAATGGTTTGCTGGAGCTCATGAGGGAATTGCAATGTGGGGCTTTTGAGCTTTTATTGCAAATTTGTTTTTTGAAAGTGGAGAGAAAGATGATTTTAAGACAGTGATTGAAGGTAAAGGCTGCAAAAATTCCGTAAGGTCCAGATGGATTCTCCTGTGTCTGGTGAGAACAGCCATTCTCATTTGCCCCACAAAGGAGTGGTCTTTGTCTTTTCAGGTGAAAGTGGAAAAATTGCCATTGCTGCAGCAGCTCCCAGCTGAGAAGGAGATCCACCAGAAAGGCACTCAGGATGAAACTGCTTTTCTTTCCCACTCTGGGTTGGTTTTTTTTGGTATAAACCCTTAAATCCTCAGAGGCATTGGGAAAAAAAATCTCTAGTGATTAAATAGTTTTCTTTCTTGTAAAGCATGAATGGAGTTTTGCAGTGACAGCCTCTGGCCCAACAAGAAAAAGGCAGCTGCCTTTCCTAAAATTCCCATGTTTCTGAAGAAGGAACTATGCCACCGAGCCTGCAGTAACATTTCATTTGTAATAAAAACACCCAAAGCATTAAGAACCACAGGATTACCATGATTTAGGTATGACAAGTGACTCCAGGGTACACAGAACCTGATTTCCTGGAACGCAAAATAGCTAAAATAAAATCGTTTTCAAGGAACTCTCCACATGTTGTTTTTCAGTTACAGCCCCTCTGACTTCCCTGTTGTTACTCAGCCCTGCCTGAGATGCTTCAGATTTACCTGAAGAGACACCAAACACAGAATTTGCAAAGTCCCCTCGTCCAGATTCTGGAAATCTCAATTTTCACACACTTCTGTAACCTCTGTGGCTGGGGACACAAAATGTTTTTAATCTCATGGCTTTGGGGATCCCAACTCTTCCTTTTCAGTGCTGAGGACAGGTAAAAACTCTCCCTCAAGCAGGGAACAGCCTGAGCAGCCTTCCAGCACACAGGAGCTGTGCTCAGGAATGCTGAGATCCCACCCCAAACCAGCACCCTCCCCAAATTCCTCTGGGTGAGCAGCAGGTGAAGGAACCCCTCACCCATTTAGGGAACCTAAATTTGTGTCAGCCCCAGGCAGGCAGCAGCAATCCCCTTCCCAGGTGAGCCACCAGGTTAATTTGGTTTAGAAATTTAGAAAAACAAGAAAGAAGAACATTGACCCCAGCTGGAAACTTCATCCCAATATCCATCTAACCCTGCCCTCTGGCAGTGGGAAGCCATTTCCCCTTTTCCTGTCCCCCCATCCCTTGTCCCCAGTCCCTCTCCAGCTCTCCTGGAGCCCCTTGAGGCTCTGAGCTCTCCCTGGATCCCTCTCCAGGTGAGCCCCCCCATCTCTCCCAGCCTGGCCCCAGAGCAGAGGGCTCCAGCCCTTGGAGCATCTCCATGGCCTCCTCTGGGCTCTCCAGCAGCTCCCTGTCCCCTGCTGGTGCAGACCCCACCTTTGGAAGCAGCACTGAAGGCTGCGTTCACCAGAGTGCAGCAGAGGGGGAGAATCACCCTCCCTGTCCAGCTGGGCACTCTGTTTTGGAAATATCCCTTCATGTGGATGTTCCCCCATCAACCCTCTGCTGGTTCATGCTCCCACCATGTGGCACAGAAAGCACAGCCACTGCACACTGCTGGTGACACTGAGCACAGCAGCAGAATCTCTCCAGGGGACTCAGAGGTGTCTTGGGAAGTGTATCCCAAAGGAGCCCCTCTGTTTGCTCATCCCCACAGTAGCTTACAAAGGAAGAGCCCATCTGCTCCGCATTTTCACCTTTTTTTGTTCTATGCAGAAGTCCTTTTCAGCTTCCCCTTCTTATTAATAGTTTTGGGTTTAGGCTGTTTAGCTTTTTATTTATTTTTTCTTTTTAATTTTTTAAAGTACAAAGCAAAGTCCCTAAAACTCTTTTTGATCCCTGTCCTGCTCATGGGATGCAGCCATGCCTGGTTCTGCCAGGACTTCTGTCCAGACACACTTTGCATAGGACCTTCACACTCCAGCCTTTCCAAAATGCACTGTGAGTTCAGCCTTACCTTTTTAATTCTTATATGGGAGAGACTTCCAGCCTCGGAAATGGGAACCAAAGGGAAAGTAACAATAAGTTTAGAATTAATAATTTAAAAAATCAATTAATTTCTGAGAAGTTGTTCTGAAAATCTGCTGAATCCTGCCCTCCCTGCCAGTTCCCACCATGAATTGTGTGTTAGTCCCCCTACTTCTGAAGGAATGGACAACATTAGGACTATTTATGATGCCCAGCCTGGAGTCTGTGCAACACTGGAACATGACAAAGAGACCACTGGTGTTTCAAAGACAGTCCTGTGGTTAAAAGCAGCACGGGCAAGGTGAGTGACTCACTCCCCTGCTCCCCAGAAAGCATCCCAAGAGAATGCTGACTCCAGCACAGAAACACCTTCATCCAACCTGTGCATTTTTCTGTTGGCTGAGTGCACAAAATCCAGCGTGTCCCTGTGCCTGCTCCCTGCTCTCCAGCCCTGGCTGTGGTGTTGGCACTTGGTGTCTCTGCTCTGGCACAAGCACACCCTGAAGTTTGGTGTGGGACACGAGAGGAGCACCCAAAGATGGGAATGCAGCACTGCAGGGCTGGGGTGGGACTCTGCTCAGGCAGATGGGGCTGGAATAAGTCATTAAAAAGTGTAAATGACAGCTCCTTACACTGCTGCTGCTTCTGAACTCCCTGGGCATCACCAGCTGCTGGCAGGAGTTCGTGCAACAAGTACTGTGCTCTTATCCCCAGAGTCTGTCCCAGAACAAGAAAGAAGAATATTGACCCCAACTTCATCCCCCCAGCTGGAAACTGCTATTTGCAGCATCTGCCCTGATAAACACACCCCCCCGAGCTGGGTGAAGAGACCAGGCAAGGGGAAACCTGAGGAGGATCCGTTTTTAATAAGCATTTATTTATAAACTGACACTTTACAATTGTTTAAGTGCTTACAGGCATCTCCAGGATCTGTGCTGAAGGTTTACTGTGAGATGCCAAGCAGGGAGAAAATGAGCAGAATACATTGAGGCAAAACAGTTTGGATCAAATGTCATGGAAAAATGTGTCTCTTTTTTGATGAGTTTCATGGTATAGGATTCAGTCATTTTTCTTAGAGCCTCAGGTCTTTGAGTGATAGGATTATAAATATTTTTTTATTTCTTCCAAGGTAAATTTTCAGGTAAATTTTTCTTCCAAGGTTTGTCAAGCTCTGTTGACTTTTAACAAAAGGACCAACTTTTTCAAGAAGAAAAAATCAATGGCAAATTCAAACCACCTTAGGTAGAAACCTTTAAAAATTACAAGGGTTTTAAATTTTTTTTTTTTTTTTTTTTTTAGGTAATCCTGTGGTTTCTAACAGCTTACCTGGTGGTTTTTGAATACTTGGAGTTCAAAGTGCTGCTGCAATGAATTTTAAAATAGAGACTTTAAGCTTGATAGAACAGTAGTGCACAGGAAATAGGAAAAGGGGCTTAAAAGTCTCTTTACATGTTCACAACGGTAACACACAGGGCAAACCCGAGGCTGGCAGCTCAGTTAAGTGATCCTGGGCCAATTTCGGATTCCTGCAGCTCTGAGCCAGCTGTAGCCCCAGGGCAGCACTGAGAAAGCCCACGAGAGAAACGGCGCGCGGAGCTGGAGCCGAAACTCAGCCAGGCGTGAAACCAGTTTGTGGCAGCACCGAGCAGAGCATCCGCCTCATCTTCTGCACCCCAAACCCTGCAGGATTTGTCCCAAACAGCTGCTGGCTCCCGGCAGGACACCCCCCAACATCCCTCAGCCAGACGGAACTCCAGACTCATCTCGCAGCATTTGGATTCACGCCACTTCTCGCCCCTCGCTGGAGAGAGCACCACAAATGAGTTCTCAGAACCCTTCAGGGCTAGGGGGTCCCCAAAGCCCTACCTTTGAGTGAGCATCATGGGCACCACAAATGAGTTCTCAGAACCCTTCAGGGCTAGGGGGTCCCCAAAGCCCTACCTTGGCTGGACGCTCTGCTGGTCCTGGCGTGTTGGCAGCGCCTCCTCTTCCTCACTTGTCCTTCAGCGTGGCCATGCCCAGCGCCTCGGAGCTGTAGTCGTACTGGTTGCTGGAGGACATGGAGCGGCCCCAGGAGCACTGCAGGTTGGAGCCCCTCTTGCGGAAGGAGGAGGTGAACCTGTAGAAGTTGCGGTGCCTGTTGCGCAGGTACTCCCGGTAGTTTTTGGTGAGCAGGGTGTAGAGGAAAGGGTTGATGCAGCTGTTGCTGTAGGTCAGGCAGGTCACCAGGTAGTTAATGCACTTTTGGGTTTGGGTGGTGAGCTGCAGGGAGCTGCTGTAGAGGCGCACCAGCTGCCAGATCCAGAAGGGCAGGAAGCAGGCCCAGAAGACCAGCACGATGCTGAAAATCATGATGAGGACCTTCTGCCGGGGGGACCTCTTGCTCTTCTCCTTGTGGGGGGGGTTCCTCTGCGACTCCAGGTAGGTCCTGGCCAGGCGCGTGTAGAGGAAGCCGATGATGATGCCCGGGGCCATGATGCTGGTGCTGAAGAGCACGGTCAGGTAGGTGCGGTAGGCGTCCACGCTCCAGGTGGGCGCACACATCCTCTTCACCTTGCCCTCCGCCTTGCCCCCCTCGGTCAGCGTGACCATCAGCATCATGGGCAGCGTGAGCAGCAGCGACACCGACCACACGGCCCCCGCCGTGACCTTCCGGTAGCCCCGCGACCGCTTCAGGGTGTCCAGGGGCCGGGTGACGGCCAGGTAGCGCTCGGTGCACATGAGGGTGAGCGTGAAGATGCTGGCGTGCATGGTGAGCAGGTCCAGGCTGAGCAGGATGCGGCACCCCAGGTCCCCGAAGTACCAGTCCTGGGCCAGGTAGGTGCAGACGATGAAGGGGATGGTGGAGAGGTAGAGCAGGTCGGCCAGGGCCAGGCTGACGATGGAGCTGTACATGGGGGCGGCGCAGCGCGCCGAGTGGCACATCACCACCAGCGTGTAGACATTGCCGGCCACCCCGGCCACGTACATCACCGACAGCACCGTCCCGAAGGCCGAGGGGATGAGCAGGGGGCCGCTCCCGGGGGCACCCCCGCCGCCCGCCGCCGCCGCCGCCGCCGCCGTCCCGTTGTCCCCCGCCGCCGCCGCGGGCACCCCCCGAGCCCGCCCGCAGGTGCCGCCCGGGACCGGAGCGCCGGCTGCGCTCAGCCCGGGGGGCACCCTGCGGGGAGCGGCTCGCCGAGCCGGGAACGGGGCTCTGTCCTCCGGGAACGGGGCTCCCCGAGCTAGGAATGCGGCTCTCGGAGCCAGGAACGGGGCTCCCCGAGACGAGAACGGGGCTGTCCCAACCGGGAACGGGGCTCCCCGAGCCGGGAGCGGGGCTCTCTGAGATGGGAACGGGGCTCTTCCCGCCGGGAACGGGGCTCCCCGAGCCGGGAATAGGACTCTTCTCGCCGGGAACGGGGCTCTCTGAGACGGGAACGGGGCTCTTCTCGCCGGGAACGGGGCTCTCTGAGCCGGGAATGGGGCCCCTCGATCTGGGAATGAAGCTCTCCGAGCCGCGAAAAGGGCTCCCCGAGCCGGGAGCGGGGCTCCCCGAGCCGGGAATGGGGCCCCTCGATCTGGGAATGAAGCTCTCCGAGCCGCGAAAAGGGCTCCCCGAGATGGGAATGGGGCTCCCCCAGCCGGGAGCGGGGCTCCCCGAGCCGGGAATGGGGCCCCTCGATCTGGGAATGAAGCTCCCCGAGCCGCGAAAAGGGCTCCCCGAGATGGGAATGGGGCTCTTCCCGACGGGAACGGGGCTCTCTGAGCCGGGAATGGGGCTCCCCCAGCCGGGAGCGGGGCTCCCCGAGATGGGAATGGGGCTCTTCCCGCCGGGATCGGGGCTCCCGCAGCCGGGAGCGTGTCCGGAGCGCCCCGCGCCCCCCGCGGAACGAGCCCCGCCGGGCAGCGTCAGCCTCCGGGAGCTGCCTGAAAAGTTTTCGCGGTGACTCCGCTGGAATGTGGCGCTGCCCTGCCGCGGTGGCATCGCCGGCGGTGCGGCTCCGCGCTGCGCTGCCCCGGCAAAGAGGCGTCAGCGGCCGGCAGGGAGAGCCAGAGGCGGCCGCGCTCCGCAGGCGCCCCGCGCAAAGCGCTGCGGATGCGCTCGGACAGGGGCTGAGGTGGAGGTGGACAGCGAACCCGCGCTGAAAGAGCCTCCTTTCTCCCCGAAAATAGCTCGTATTTTGGATTCTACCCTGAAAAGCACGGCAGTGCTGTCGTAAGATTTGAAATTCAAGCTTTAGTGGTGGCTGGTTCTTGTGAAGAGGGGGAGGCACGGAGTGGGGATGAATGTAAGGTTCACAGAGACAACTTTTCCCCTTAGGCAAGAAGTCTGGGGACAGCTATAAAATCAGTAAGCACCTTGCATTTCCATCTTATTTTAGAGAAAGCAGAGATAGGGCAGTCCATAGTCAAAGGACAAATTTCCAAGGGTACCAGAATGCTCTATTCCCTCAACTACCATTGATTTCCAATAGGAATTAACTGGCTTTTATGCCTTCAGATATTTCTGTTTAAACCAGAGTGCTAAAATGACCGATATATATTTATTTGCTTGTTTTAATTCCTTCTGAAAGTACTTTTTGTGCAAACTGTTGTCCAATTCTCCGCGCCATGCTACAAAGCAGTGAAAATCTCGTTTACTCGTAGAAGCAGGATTCAGCCCTATAAAAATATTGTCTCGAGTACTTGATTGTAATCTGCTGTGGGGGGAACACACAAATACACAAATCCAACCCTGCTCTCCTTCCTGGTGCTGCTCATCAGCGTTCGTGTCTCTCTCCAATGCGCCCCAAACGCTCAAAGCCATATTCAATAAAGGGCTGGCTCAAACATGCTGGTGAGGGAGAAGAAACTAAATTGAATTATTTTCAGGCAGGGGGTTACTTCATCAGCTTCAGCCATGGCACTGACAAATCTCAGCTCCAAGCACTGCGGTGGAATTTGCTTTTCTCTGGAAGATTGGACTCGCCCGGTGCCAGCGCCCTCGGCAGCCGCGCATTCCTCTGCGGCAGCTGGACACAGCAGCTGGGAATGCAGCGGATGCTTCAGCAGGGCCAAGTCCTGCCTGCATGGCAGTCCAGGGGATTGGCTGCCACAGGCTTCAAGTGAGATCCATTTCTGGCGTAAATAGGTGATCTCTGAGAATTAGGTTGCGTGCAACTTTCCTGTCACCTTTCGTGTTGAAGTTGTTCACTCTCTGGTTTTTTATCTGTCTTTATCTAGTGGCCAGGACAGAGGGAAAAGAGAGAACAGAACAGATATATTGTTTTCTGTTCTGTTACCTGATTTGTTTTGGGTGATCACACAAGGTAAGCAGAGTAGTGTGTTCTTCTAGACAGAGAATTACTTAATCTGTTTAGTAAATACCTAATTTCAACTTTCCGGTTTTCCTTCCAGCACAAGAATGTTTAATTAAGCAACACCAGGCATCAGTGAGCCTGAGAGACACTTGTTTTCTTGAACATGTAGGATACACACGTATATCCATGGGAACTCAGTCCTGTTAAACTCTTCAGAGTTTGCTGCCTGAAGTTGTTCTGCAGCAGAGCAGCAGAGCAAAAGCTGTTCTCTGAACAAAAGGCACTTCTGCTCTCAGCATGCACTGAGCCTCTTCTGCACACCCACAGGCATTAACAGAGCATTTCCTACTGGGTGGAACTGGGCCTGGAGCGTGTGAGAAGCGTGATCAATCAGAATTAAAAGGGGGACAATGCAGGAGTCTGGAATATTGATGTTTCCCATTTGTCTGTGTACACAAGGAACACATCTTTCAGCAGTGTGGGTGACAAGTTACCAGAAGTGGTGAATTTTCCATTTCTCCAGCTAAGTAAGGGCTGCAAGTGCTTTTTTGGAAGATGAATTTTAATCAAACAGGAATAGGGAGCTCAGTGTATAATTACTGTCAGAGTAAATTCCTCAGGGACTTGCACACAAAGTCATCAAGGATCAAATTGTCTTATGAACCTCAAGATCTGTTATTCCCTGTGTGGTTTTCTTGTAATATTCTAAAAAAGTATTGGTATGAAAATGATAACACAGAAGCATAGACTCACAGAATGGCTTAGGTTGGAAGGGAACTTAATTTCATTCCACCCCCTGCCACGGGCAGGGGCACCTTCCACTATCCCAGATTGCTCCAAGTCCCATTCAGCCTGGCCTTGGGCACTTCCAGGGATGGGGCAGCCCCAGCTGCTGTGGGCAGTACCTTGCACTACCTTGCACATGTACTTCAGGTACAAAATTTCCCCTCTGGAGCCACGTGTGGCTCAGGCTGAGCATACCCAGCCATCTTAAAATATAACTCCATGTGGCATTTTATTCTCTGCTTTGAACAGAACTTTTTTCAGGTGTTCAGCACCTAATTTTAGAACTTCTTAGCACATTTTTCTTCTCGCTAGGAAGCAGACAGTAGCAGCCTACGTGGTGAGGGCTGTTTGAGCAGCCATGTCCAGTTTTTTTCTTGTAAAGTCCTTGATATTCTCTGTGAATAACTGGCACTCCTTTGTTTGGCTGTGAAGGTCATGGTATGTATGGTGGGCAGCTGAAGGCTGTTGCCTTGGCAAATTGAAAGGCAGTTCCACTCAGCTTGCTCCATTCAGCTGTGACAGGATCCAAAACTAAATGTTGTCTGGCCAAATGAGTGTTTGGAAGCAGAGGCTCCCTCTTAGGCACCATCTTTGTACACTTTGTCCTCCTAAAATGCCTTCTGGGTGGAATTTTATTGTTGAGAGTGAATTTTGAGTTCAGGATAGGGAGCATGTGAAATGCTGCATCTGTGTCCTCGATGTGAGCTTTGGGCAGAGGTGCTGTGGATGTCAGGTCCAGCTTTGGCTGAGTTTGATTTTAGTTGTGCAAGTTCTGCCTGGCCAGGTGGGCGCTGATGTTTCTCGTGGTACTCTTGTGCCCAGTCACCACATGGATGATCCTCTTCCCATCAGAAGTGCAGGAAGTGAAAAGATTTAACTGATCACTTGCCAAAGTATCAGGAAAGTATTTTGCTTTGGCCAAGTTCAGAGGGGCCCTGTCAGAGTATCCGAGTGAGAAGGGCAGAGGGAGGGATGTCTCTGGATAAACCCAGGGCTGAGGGTTGTTAGATCCATGTGCTGCCAGATGAGATCTGTACATTCATTTCTTAATCCCAAACTTAGGGGCTCAGCTATCATCTGGTAGTGCAGAGCCTGCCAGTGGAATGTGACATTGCAGGGGAAGGGATGACAAAGAGGAATTGAAAGCAACTGCAGCTCAGTGTCCCACGGGACAGCCAGAGCCTGATTTGGCTGTGCTGCTGACTCAATAACCTTTTCTCAGGTTACCACCCGCTGGTGTAAAATCCCTGCAGCTTGGCCATGGAGCCTCACTGGAGCAATGTTTATGCTCTGCAATATGCACAGGGCCTTGTTGCTCTCTGAAATTGTTTCTGAGCCACTCATCACTCAGGTGCAAGGGATTATCTGAGAGCACGGAATGTGCACACTGATTGCAGCACAGTCACTCCTGAGCTGCACAGATATAAGGAAAAGCAAATTTGATCCCCAGCTTCTGAATGTATTAACAGCTATGTTTACATCAGTCCTGTAGAGTTGAATATGCCTTTAAATTTAAATTTAAATTTACAAGTATACCTTATTTCAAAGTTAGAGCTTTCTCCCCTCACTCAGAGGTTTGAGATGCAAGCTGTCCTAGCTCTGGGGAACCACTGGAGAGAACCCTCTGCAAGATCCCTAAAGAGGGCTGTGCAACAGGTTTCAGCCAGCACTATTTCAAGAATGTAGTTGAATGGGTTTTAAAACCCCTCCCAGATAAAAAGAGCATCGGAGGGACTTGTACTTTTAATCACAGCACTCCTGAGCAAGTGCCCTTTGGCTCCTGATGCCCAGTGAGGACAGCAGAGCCCGGGCAGGGAAAGGTCGGAGGTGCCCCGTGGATCTGTGCCCTCAGGGGGTCTGCCTGGGGGTGGCACTCCCAGGGTCACTGAGTCCAATTTTATGTCATTTCAAGCACCTGTGTGACAGATATGAAAATCTGCTCTTCACCTCTTGTGCATCCAAAGCCATCAAACACCTTTGGGGTGCTGCAAAAAGCCTGAGACCTTCAGTACTGAACACAGTGGCCACAGGAAAAGGTGAGGAGAGCAAAGGTTTTGCCCTTGCTTTTTGCAGAAGATAAGGAGTGTAAATTGTGTGCTGTTACAGTGACTTTCAGCTGTTCTGGATTTTTAGGATCTTCTCCTTGTGTTAAAGCATTTGAGATCATTTTACAATGGAAAAAAATACATATTAATAACCCCAAGTCATTTCCTGCAGAAACTCAAACCACTACCATTACACTTAGATCTGAATTCTTTCTCCTCCCCTGAAAGACAGAACTGTACACTGAAAAAAGAAAAAAAAAATCCTCTTCCTTTACCATGTGAGTGCAAAGGAGACTGTCTTGGCTCCAGGGAGGTTTTTATTGTTCCACAGCCCCTGCACAGGGTGGGCACTGCAGGGATGGTGCCAAAGAGCTGGCAGAGATCAGGGCTGGGGGGCAGCAGTTTGGTTTGGTATCCTGAGTTACCTTTTGTCTTGCTGAAGGAGCTCTGGGAGCTCAGGGCAGTGCTGCTCTTGGTACTTGATTTGTTTTTGCTCAAGGTGGGAAGGCTTTCATTCCTATTAAATGGCCTTTTCTACTTATGGAGAAATTAGAGCCTTTATATCTGCAGATTTCTCCCTAGAGAGGGCTTGGCTCTTCCCACAGGCTAAACTCCACTTGGAGTGTGCAAATCCTACAGCACGCTCTCATCTCCAGAACTCAGCCTGTTGTTAATAAAGAGCTCCAGATGCTGGAAAATGTCTCTTTTCCCCTGATTTCTGTGATATTTCTTGGTCCACACTGAAATATTGCCTTCAGGTGAACTGTCTTCTTTTCTGGGAGAGGAACTGCAGGGGATCTGCAAGGATGATCCAGC